AAAAAAAAAGGTAGCCAGGGGTACCCACCTGTACAGGCAATGTCACATAATAAATTCACATATAACATAATAGAATAAAATACGTGTGCGTGTACGCAGTGTGCCCGCCCGCGTTGTAAACATGAAGCTAGACAGAAAGAAGGACTTCAAAAAAAAGCTTGTGACGTGCTTTTCGCTGCTGCAAGTGTCGGACCCCATCAAGGTGATCGTCGACGAGACCTTCATCCACTTGTGTATTGTTCATAAAATTCCCATCAAGGAAGAGCTAGCTAAATTAATAAACAGGCAACTGATGGTTATGACCACAAAATGTATCTCCACGTGCGCCAAAAAAACACATAATGAAGAAACAGCCTACGGAATTCGGAAGATAACTCATTACAAGTGCAACCACAATGGTGATAATGTGAAAAACTCTGTTGACCTTTTTTTAAAAAAGATGAATGCTGAAAGGAACTCGCCCTTTTCGCTGAATAATTTTTTCGAAAATGAGGTTTCTGTGACGCATAACTTTGATAGTGTGTGCAATGTGAAGGGGCGTTCAGGGGGGGTAGAAGCGTCCAAGGGGGACGATGCACCAAAGGGGCAGGAAGCAAAGGGGGAGGAAGCACATGGGGAAGAAGCAACCAAGGGTGAGGAAGCAAAAGGGGAAGAAGCAAAGGTGGAGGAGGCAACGAATGAGGAGGAAGCGCAAACTGGTGGACAGACCGAGTGGACAGTCGAGCTTACAGAGTCCATGAAGTGCATAATCGATTTAGTAAAAAATAACAACGAGAAGAAATTTTTTGTGGCAACCAACAATAACGAGTTAAGATCTTACCTCAGGTAAGGCAACTTGAAGCACCTGTCCGCTTCGTTCGCCAGCTGACCGGCGTGCGGGTGCCCCTTAGTACACTTGCATATATGTTCTCATGAGTACAGTTATGTATTTGTGTTAACTTTCACTGCCTCCCCGCAGAAAGGTGTTCATCGTGCCAATCATCTACATCAGCGAGGGCGGCGCCATCAAAATGGAAAGCCTCTCCTCGAAGAACACGAACAAGAAAGCAGTGGTCGAGCTACGCAAGATGAAGATGCCTAAGTGGGAACGCGAGCTCAGGATGTCAGAGCAGAAAAGGGACAAGGATAAAGTGAAAAAAAATGGGAAGAAAAAAAAAAAAGCAAGGGGGAGAAATGGAAGGTAGGATTTATATGTGTGCAATGTCACGGTCCAGATTTCCCCCACTCTTTTGTCGAGATGTATATGTTGCGAAGAAAAACCAAAAAGAATTTTTTTTTTTTTTTTTTTTT